ATTGCAATGAGTTACTACTACATGCGATTCTGTGAAAGTGCAGCTTTCTTTCCTGGAGATCTCAGGCTGGCTGTGCCACGACATGGGTAAAGGGGATACTGGAGTCCTTTATACTATTCCCTTCACTGTTGCAAATGATTCCTTTTTCTTTTTTAGATTTATTTATTCATGCATACAGAGCTGAGGTACAAGCCAGAGGTGCAGGGGCGGCGAGAAGATTCATCAGAGACATAGTGGGGAGCAGTCCAGGCAGATCAACGAACTGCTAAGGGGAGCAGCAGGCAGGCCAGGAGAGGTCTGCCACGCCATGCTGATCACCTCCAGGGCTGGGGATCGAACTCATGCGGAAGCGGCTGCAGCTAGCTTAGAGTGCTGCATCCTAACCCAGGGAGGGCTGATTCCTTTTTCAATTATCATTTCCATGTCTTTAAAAAGTCCTTACCTCATAATATTATAAGCCATGTCAGTGTTTAAGTTCTGTGGTACAATAGTAGCCCATCAAAAACCTCCACATCTAATCCCCAGAACCTGGGTAATGTTACCTTACACATAGCAAAGACAACATAAACTTGTTATCTTTCAGTTCTTTAGGTCTGGAATTTGTGGACACAAATTCCATGACACAAATTCTCCATGGTGCGGGTGTTGGATTGTCCAGCTAACCATATAATGACACAATGTGAGCAGAGAACCTTCCCTAGCTCTCTCTGGTCAAAAAGATCTGATGATGGAGGGGCCTCCCTGATGGCGCAAGGGGTTAAAGTGCAGTGTTATGAAGCTATGGGCAGCTACTACAGCATGACCTGGATCCCTGGCCAAGGAGCTGACCCACATGGCGTGGCAGACCTCTCCTGACCCGCCTGCTGCTCCCTTCAGCAGTGTATTTCAGTAGATCTGCCTGTTCTGTTCTTCCCCACTCTGTTTCTGGTGAATCTGCCCCCCCCCCCACCCTGACCTCTGGCCTGTAACCCAGTTCTTGTATGCATAAATCAATCTTTTAAAAAAGAAAAGATCTGATGATGGAGAAAGGATCAGAAATGCTATGGCTGCTGCTGTCACAGTGGCAGAAGGGACCACAGGCCAAGGAACTTCCAGAAGACAGAAAAAGCAAGGGATTCTCCTCTAGAACCTCCAAAGAGGAATGCAGCTCTGTCAGTAGATAACTCAAGTCAAAGAAGTGAATGAAGACAGGTAAGCCAAGAGAGCCTCGAGTACACCAAGCACTTCAGGGGAGAGGAGGAAAAGATGTGTCAATGGAGGAGACAGAAAGGCAGAGTCTAGGCAGGGAGAGAGCCAGACGGCCTCAAACAAAAGTTCGAAAAGGAGAACGTGGTTCAGAAATTTGAGATGCCTAATCTTTAAAGTGAGGGCTGAGAGGTTCAAAAGTCTTTCAATTTAAAATGCATGTTATTTCTTTGCTTCATTTCCTCTGATTCTGGCATTTGCATTTACATCCTCTTTTACCTGCAATATCACCTTTTCCCTTCATGCTATAAAAGCCTGAGAGTTTGAGAACTTTCACAACCTGAATCCACATGTTACAACCCCATCAAGGTAATGTTCTGGTTCCAGAACAGCAAGTTTTACCACATTGGGAGCTGGAAGGAAATGAAGCTATTTTTATGTGTTAAGCTATTTGACTCTGGGGATGGCCTAAACCAGGAGTGAGAACAGACTGGTGACAGCATGGTCCTAATTTCCCTCTCTAGGGGCTCCACCCAGACCTGGCCTTCCCAGGATACTTAAAGTCCCAAGGTACTGCTCCTCATTAAAATATCTATTCTCTCTACAGACATTCTCACCTACCAATTTGGAAAATGGCAAATTATGTCACCCAGGTGAGAGTGTTAATGGACCTATCCTAGATAACATTTACATTCTGAAAGGCACTGCTAAAAAGTGCTGAATGTGGAGAGGATATTCTTAAATTATAACTAACTAATCGCATCTGACTTTGACAGTCTGGGCTTGCCACCTACTTTCACATGAAGGCATCTGCACAGTAGTTCCCTCTGCCTGAATCCTCAACCCACTCACTCAGGATAGGGGCTATCACAAACTCCAGTGGCTCCTTCTGTCTCAGACCCCACAGTCCCCCTGCACTTCTTCTGAAACGCTCACCACAGTGTAATTATTGTTCAGTATCTATCCCTTCTCCATCAGATGACAAGTTCTGTGAGGTAAAGACAAGGTCTGCCTTCCATGGAGTTCACCGTAACCTCTTTGACCCCTAGTATATGGCAGATATGAATAAATGTTTTTTTGATGAATGAATAAATGAATGAAGAGTGGAAGCCTACTGCTCTTACCCTGGGTTTTCAGATGATTGCTACATCAGCGTTTCCTGGAAACATAAATGTAAAAATAAACTAAACATCAAACATCAAAGCTAAAGGACTGCATTTCCCAAAACACGCCAAACCCCCTATGTTCACCCCTGCTCCTGCCTAAACCTAGAGGCAAACAACACAAATGGGATACATTTTCATTAAGTGTGCCCAAATAATTCAATGGGAGGAGAGCGGAAGCTTCAACAAATGGTGTTGGGAAAACTGGATATGGACATGCAAAACTCCTCTCCAGCCCACACACAAAAACTAACTCAAAATGGATCAAACATCTTAAGGAAGAACTAAAACTATACTATCCTTAAAATGAAAACACAGAGGCCCTCCCTGGTGGCACAATGGGTTAAAGCACAGCACTAAGAAGCTAAACCCACTTAAGCTGGAGTTCCATCCCCGCCCAGGAGGTGACCACATGGCATGGCAGACCTCTCCTGACCCGCCCGCTGCTCCTCTCAGCAGTGTACTTGGTCAGTCTGCCTGTTCTGCTCCCCACTCTGCCTCTGATGAATCCTCTCACTGCCCCTGCACCTCTGGCCTGTACCCCAGTTCTGTATGCACAAATAAATAAATCTTAAAAAAACAAACAAACAAAAAACACAGAACTACGTATTTGTAATCTTAGGTATTCAAAGACTTCTTAGATATGAGCAAAAGGACAAGTAACAAGCTTGATTTCTACAAAATTCAAACCTTTATGCATCAAAATACCCACGGAATGGGAGAAAACACTTGTATCATGTATTTGATAAGGACTTATATCTAGAACATATAAAATGTTTTTACAACTCAACAATAAAATGCCAAATAATCAACTGAAAAATGAACAAAATTTTCTGTCTGAATGACTAATAAGTTATTAGGGGAATGCAAATCAAAATCACCACTTCATACACACTTCATACACACTATAATCAAAATGCCAGAGAAGAGGAGCAGGCGAAGATGTAGAGCAGTTAGTCCTCATATTGCAGGAGGGGATGTAAAATGGTGTGCAGCTGTTTCAGAGTTTAGCAGTTCCTCAAGGAGTTTAACATGGAGTTACCATTTGACCCAGTGATAATATACTTCAGTATGTACTCAAGAGAAATTGAAACACATCCACACAAAAACTGGTATTTTTCCACAGTTGCATTATTTACAACAGCCAAAAAGTGGAACCCTTAAGTCCATCAATAGTTGGATAAACAAGATGTGATTTTTCAGTTGGTTCTGTTCATAAGATGAAATACTTAGCTATAAAAAGGAAGGAAGTACTGATCTGTTACACCAGATAACCCTTGAAAACCTTGAAAGTGAAAGCTAGTCACCCAAGGCCACATGTTATGTGACTCCATGTACACCAAACAGACAGACTAAGAAACATCTCTAGGGAGAAAGAGTGCTGGTGTCCAGGACAGGGTAGGGTAGGTGGGTGTTGTCAGGAGGTGGGAGGTGGGGCGTGACCATTAATTGGTCTGGCATTTCTTGCCAGTGTAATGAAGACATTCTGGAATTGTTTGTGATGATGGTTGCACAACCTTACAATTACACTTTAAAAACCACTGAACTGTTTATTTAAATGGGTGAATTGTATGGCATGTAAATTACCTCTCAATAAAGCTATTAAATTTTTAAAATGTAGTATAAAGAAATGTTGTGCTTTTATTTCAAAACATCACACATTTGTTAGAAACCAATCTCACACTCATTTTCCCAAGCATAAAGGAAAACACAGGCTCTGTCTCCTGGGACACTGAGTCTTGAGCCCGTTCATTTTCCTGAGCGTCTGCACAACTGTCAGGCACTGAGAACAAGGCCCCTGCTCCTTCTGGACCTGTCGGGGCACAGACCTGCAGATTTCTTGCTATGGAGCATGTCAATCTAGGGGTACATATTTTTTCACTTACAACACAGTATCATGCATCACTAAAGATGGAGATTCATCCTGAGAAAAGCATTTAAGAGATATTGTTGTTGTGTTATTCTCTGAACAGTGCTTCTCTGTCTCTCTGATCTAACAGTTCTGAGGGCATCCTGGAAGGGGAGCTGGGTCATCCATGACTTATTACTCCTGCAGCACTCTGGCAGTGCGCTCTATGACATCACTGGGCAGTAGGAACTGAAATGACGGAAGAGAGCATGACTGTAAATTGTCCTTAAAGCTTGAAATGCAACACAAAAAACTTTTCTCTGCAGCAGAGACAGACTGGCTCCATGAACATCACATGGGGTATGCTGGGTGTTTGGAGCAGGTCAAAGTTCAGCAATGACCAAACCCTAATTGTCAGGGGCTGAACTTTTGGATTCCTGACTTGTTCTCTCCCTCCTCTTGTTCAAGTTCTTCAGCTCTAGGACAAAGATCTAAAATTTCCCCCACTATCCCTCATACCGAGAGTTCTGGATGGGAAGATACAAAGGAGTTTTCTGGAGTTCGGTCTTCATTTCCTAGCTCTTGACACTTTACTTCTCTTCTGCTCATGGCAAGGCTTGTGTGATGACGGAGGTGCAGGTTAGAGGGTACAAGGGGACACATAAGGAGGTCATACAGTGAAAGATTCAAGAAGAAAAGTTAAGACTTTTCTCTGGCAAAATTTGCTAGTTTAAATGGGAGTTCAGACAGACATCAATAGGTACATGCTGAATGAATGAACAACTCGATTAGTAAAAAACCCCAAAACTTAAACACACTTTATTTTAGCAGTCCTTGAGATATAAAACAATGGCAACGTCTAGTTCACAAGCCATGCAATGAGTGTCACAGCACTCTAGAGCTAGGTAAAAAGGGATGGGAGTAGGGATGGAAACATGGGATACTTGAGTATATTTCTAGCTTCAGAAAGTCAGAGAGATAGAACATTCCAGAACATGGTTACAGGTTCTTTACAAAGGTGTTTACCTGAGGGGAAGAGAAAAACCAGAAGTTAAATTTTATATGTTTAGCAGTCTATACGCTAGCTCATCCACAAGGCCAAGCCCATGAGGTTTTTGTGTGGAAGGGGACATTGGCACAGGGAGGAAATGTCATAGATCAAGTGGCAGAGGTTGGAACGGAATCCAGAAGTTGCATCTCCCTAGTTCTAGAATACCTTAGAGGAGAAAATTAGCTGGGAATCACACACTACAAGTCTACTACTTAATAACTATTAGCCTAAAATACTTTAGAGAATAGGGATTATATTTGTAACTTATACACGATCCCATAGGCTTTAGAGTATCAAATGCAAACTGATATGCAAAATATAAGAACCATTATACTGAGGTTTGAAGCAAAGATAAAAAAGTACAATCACTAGAAACAAGAGTTAAGGTCCTCCCTACCTTTTCTATGAGTTCTTCTTGTTTGGTTCCACTTTCAGAAAAATCATCATTGACATCCAACACCAGCACTGGAATGTTCAGCAGAGTCTCAAAGTGTAGCCTGTAAGAAGAAGCATGAATATTTAGAGGACAGAAAAAAAAGCAAAGCCAGGTTTCACATGTTCAGAATAATTAATAATTAATAAAGTAATAATAATTCAGAGCCCAGGACTGAAGGCATATGGCTCCTCAATGAAACTGCATAAACCAGCAGCTAAAAAAAATTCAATAAAGTTGGCCAATTAAAAAGAGGGTTGAGGGCCCTCCCTGGTGGCGTAGTGGGTTAAAGCACTGCACTGAGAAGCTAAAGCCACTTCCACATGAGTTCGATTCCCACCTGCTCCGGAGGTGACCACATGGTGTGGCAGACCTCTCCTGACCCACCCGCTGCTCCCCTCATCAGTGTACTTTGTCGATCTGCCTGTTCTGCTCCCTACTCTGTCTCTGGTGAAGCCTCTCACCACCCCTGCACCTCTGGCCTGTACCCCAGTTCTGTATGTACAAATAAATAATCTTTAAAAAAAAAAAAAAAAAAAGAGGGTTGAAGGGGCCTTCCTGGTGGCCCCGGGGTTAAAGACATAGCACTATCAAACTACTGCCATCCACTGCAAGCATGAGTTGGATCTCTGGCCAGGGAGGTGACCGACATGGCACATCAGATGTCTCCTGTCTTGCCCGCTGCTCCCCTCGGCAGTGTATTTCAGTAGATCTGCCTGTTTGCTCCCTGTCTCTGGTGAACCCTCTCACCCCCTTGCCTGTGGCCTACACGCCAGTCCTTGTATGCACAAATACATAAAACTTTAAAAAAAAAAAAAGGTTGAATTATCTTTCAGTATTGAGGGGAGCCCCAAACATTTTAAGGGGACAGCAAGCCAACTCTGAGGGAGGAAAAGCAGAAGCTAGCAATGTCAACATAGTAAAATGGACATTGTTTCTAAAAATTTCTAGCCCCTTAGTCTGACAAAATCAACTATATTGCATTCTTACAGGGTGACCTCAATGTGAAATGGGTTGCTGACTGACTTTGGTCCTCACCTGCATGCTTCTAAGGGATTTACAAAGAGACTCAACTGTACATACACGCAAAAAGGAGACATGAAAAAGTTGAATAACTCAGGGAGAAAGAGATAAGTTGGTGAATGCTGATCAGTTCTGCTGACCTGGAAACCCAATAGCTGGTGGAAAACCAAGACCCACATGTCTGGTCACACACCAAACCTGGCTGCTTAACCCCACCTTCAGCTCCCAACAATCCTCCCTTTGGTGGTGAGGACATTACAGGATTTGTAGCCCTTGGTGTCTTGGATCTCTTTGGCCTGGGGTGGGGGTGGGTCCATAAAACCTATTGGTGGAGTTTATTCAGGACATCCTTTCCCCCCTGAACAACATCAACAAGCATAATGTTCAATCTAGAGAACCACAACAAAAAGATGGAGGCATTAAATCTTTTAAAAAAAAAAAGCCTTTTGGAACATAAAGATTATATCCAATGTTAAATTTCTGAATTGGGTTAATGTTTGATATTTCCAAGCATTTCCAAGACATTCTGAATCTTCTTATGGACGTGAATGTACCCTTGTGTTTTAATGACTGAATGAGGGTGGTAAGTCTGTCTGTTCTCTTCCCCTTACTTGGTAGTCTTGTGAACAAGCCAGGCTTCGTGTTGACCATGAAGCTGTTCTAGATAGGCCAGCTCTATCCCCTTCTCCTCTTGCCTGGCCCTCCGGCAGAGTCTCTTCAAACAAACCTAAAAGACAATCCCCAGGCTCATGAACACACTTGTTATATTCACTAAGCTGTTACACTGCTGTTTTGGCCTCTCAAACCCACTTGTGGTATCTATTCTAGAAGCCACAATTTTGTTTCTGCTTCTGTTTTCTTATTCAATCCCAGGTTAATGGAGCCATCGCCCATCCTGGGAACATGAAATTACCCTTCTTTTCCCTCCTCCCAACTACATTCAGGAAGTCACTGAATTCTCTTTCATCTCTCTCCAGTTGGGTGTTTCCTGGCCACTCTTTCACCTCTTCCCTAGTCAGGTCCCCATCACCTCACTGGACTGGAACAAGTACATTCTTGCTCTCTGCTTCCTGGAGGTGGTAATGTATGTGGAAAGAGTCCAGGCCTTATGGTCAGAATATCCTGGGTTAAACTCTTATCCTCACCATGTACTAGTGGTGCATTCTTTGTGGGCTTCCATTTCCTCATCCTCCACTCACCCCCATAGATTCTCTGAAATGAGGCTTGTCAAATTCCTGGCAAAAACGATCTCTACTTCCAGCTCACCCCCCTCAGCCGACCCTTCCACAGCACTGCAGTATTGTGGCATGACTCTCTTCATGGAAATACCTCACAGGCTCCACACTTCCACAGCCATACTCCTCAGGTACAAGGAAGGATGAATGGCATCCTATTTATAAAATAGTAAGTAGCTTGAGGCAGCTCTTTAATATCTTATAAAATACCCACTGTAGAATAGAATGCAAAATCTGCATAGATAAAACAAATTTTAAAAATTGAGGCTTGAGGCCCTCCCTGGTGGCGCAGCGGGTTAAAGCACAGCACTGAGAATCTAAAGCCACTTCCTCATGAGTTCGATTCCCGCCTGCCCCGGAGGCGACCACATGGCGTGGCAGACCTCTCCTGACCCGCCCGCTGCTCCCCTCAGCAGTGTACTTCGTCGATCTGCCTGTTCTGCTCCCCGCTCTGTCTCTGGTGAATTCTCTCACCCTCCGCATCTCTGGCCTGTACCCCAGTTCTGTACAAATAAATAAATAAATCTTTAAAAAAAAAAAAAAAAAAAAAAAATTGAGGCTTGAGACTACCTTCCTCTGCCCTCTCCCTCTTTCCTGAGTGTGATAATTCCATTTTGCCATCAATTAGCAGGGAAGATTAGGGCATTACGGCTCAGAGAATGTCATCTCCTGTATCCATCACACAGGTGCTCCAGTGTCTGGTCCCCCTCTTGTGGCGCTACTCTCGACTTCCTGGCCACAGATCTGCCTTCCTGTGGGCCAGACAAGATCTTTCACAATACAGAACTTTTGTTCCAGATGTTTATTCTGCCTGAATCTCCCACTTCTGCCTGGTAGACATTTTGTTACTCAATGTCATCTGTCCTGGAAAGAACAAACAACTTAACCAATTATTTAGGATTTCCCTCTTTTAAACACTTAAAAAACTTTATTGCCAGATGTAAACTTTATTCCCCAAAATAGTAAGCAATCGTCTCAAAGACATAACATTTGCTCTTTCCTCACATCCCACCTTTCTTCTAAGAAAATAAAATTATATAAACAAATTTTATTTATAGTCTTATGTTCAACTTTTCAAATTTATTAAGATCCAGGGCCTCCCTGGGAGTGCAGGGGTTAAAGATACAGTGCCTGGGCCCTCCCTGATGGCTCAGCGGGTTAAAGCACTGCACTGAGAAGCTAAAGCCACTTCCATATGAGTTCGATTCCCGCCTGCCCCGGAAGAGACCACATGGCGTGGCAGACCTCTCCTGACCCGCCTGCTGCTCCCCTCAGCAGTGTACTTCGTCGATCTGCCTGTTCTACCCCCACTCTGTCTCTGGGGAAGCCTCTCACCACCCCTGAGCCTCTGGCCTGTACCCCAGTTCTGTATGTACAAATAAATAAATCTTAAAAAAAAAAAAAAGATACAGTGCCTATCAAGCTACCACCAGTCATTGGGGCATAGGTTCAATCCCTGGCCAGGGAGGTGACCTACATGGCACAGCAGACCTCTGCTGTCTTGCCACCTGCTGCTCCCCTCAGCAGTGTACTTCATCCATCTGCTGATTCTGCTTCCAACTGTTTCTGGTGAATCTTCTCACCCTCTCCCCAACCCCACAACTTTGGCCTAAACACCCAGCTCTTTTATGCATAAACAAATAAATCTTTAAAACAAAACAAAAAGAATAAGATCCAACAGGTTAATACTTCAAGTACTAATTCTGGTCTCTTCCTTTCCATACACAATTATTAAGTGCCCCAAGCTTAGATTAAATCTTTGTCCTCAGGAATTTATAATTTACTTAGATAATAAATATTATCAAAATCTGCAAAACAGCAATCAAGTGCTCAATCATGACTGTGAATCTTCAGATAAGGGAGGGAGCAATGTTGGCTCCAGCAGACAAAGGGAAGTTAGTAGAAGCGGCGAGAGCTCCCCTTTTATCTCTAGCTCCAGGTTGCTGAACCACACTCTGAGAGCCTGGTGTACTGGAGGGCTCTGGAGCAACACAGACCACCAGAAGCATTTTAGCTGCCTCAGACAGAGGGCAGTCCCAAAGCCCGGTCCCTGGGGCACTCCAGGGGACAGGTCAGAGTTGATTTTATACAAGCTGAGCACAGGGTCTGGCTCAGAGTAGGGAATCAACAAATATTTGTTGCATGTCTTTATTTAAGTTTTAACCTCATCTCTATCTCCATTTATCTTGTTTTCCTACTTTAATCTTTTGAATTTCTACTTTCATTCACTCTGAACCTGCCTCTTTTTCTTTTCTTCTTCCTATATATTCATCTGGTCTCTACTGATGGCCATTAGGGTTGTTTCCAGTCATATGTTCAACACCACTTTGCACATGAGCCACTCTGCTCATGGAGCACATTGAGTACTAAGGGAGCAAATTCCTATTAATTTAATAGGTCAAAGGGTATGTGCACTTGCTAGTATATTCTGCGTGATTGCCTCCTTAGAGGTTAACTTACTTACATCCCTACCATCAAGGCAGCACTGGGATTTCTAAGCACAGCAAAACTACTTAATTTAATTCTCTAAACTACTATTGGAATTAATGAAAACGCACATTTTTTAAAATGTGGCTTTTTGTTTTCCATTATACATACAGGCAGGACAGTTCTTTTTATAAAAGCTGTAATTACTCATTTATAGCTTGTAGGCAAACATTAATGCTAACGTCTCCATTTTTACTATTCACGTGCTAACAAAACTTTTCCCCTCAGAAATCTAGTCTCTTAGTCTGTCAAACATTGACCATAATTCTGATTTTACCCATATGGTAACGATAAATTCTTTTATTAAAATATCCTGTATGAAACAAATAACAAAATGATGTAAAAATAAACGATATATATTATTATTTTTTAATCCTGTAAGCAATGGTTTAGTCTGGTCCCTTTTCAATGAAAAGGAAGGAGGACATACCTGAATGAGAACAGGGAGGGAGTAGGGCTGCAAACAGCAGAGGGGCCCTCCTTCCCATCTGCCACCTCAGGGGCCAGGAATTCCTTCTCCCAGGGCCCTACCCTCAGCTACTTCTAGCCTTCCTCTTTGGCAAAGGTTTCCTCTCCCCTCCTCACTGACTCTATCCTCACCCCTAAAGGAGGCACCTTCATAACTTGCTTCTACTACTCCTATTCCCAGGCAAAGACAACCACTAAAAGAATCATATAAATGTGACCCAGTCAGTCACTTTGATTAATGCATCTATCGATAATTTCAGGTTGGGTTTTTTCACAGAAAGTACTCAGCTTATATGATCTCTGATCCAGTTTCACTTTAAACCTTAGACTATTTATTTTCATGGGAATCTCTTTAGTTCCTCTTATGATTTGGCTTCTACCACACAATGTCCAGAAACTTCTGTAGAGACACTCCCACCCATGTGGTCACCATCACTTTCCAGGGCTTCTTTCCTGGCTGCTGCCTTCTTGAGATGAAGCCTTTCTCTCCAGTCTTCTAGAGCCTACATGGTGGGGGTTCTCTTACATGTTCATTTTCTGAGACTGCAATCTGCTCTCAGGTTTTCTTCTGTCTACAGGTTCAGCCCTGTGTCTAAAAGGCATGACCTCTAGTCTGAGGGGAGTTTTTCCCTCATAAATGATATGGTTTATCCAGCATTTGACTAAACATTACATTTGTCTCAAAAGCTAAGAAGAACACATCTCCCGAAAGCCACCTTGACCTGTCCCAACTAGGTATCCTACTCCAGAAGAGTCCTTAGAGACCAAGCCTGGGCCACTGGATTTCACAGACTCCCCCCACCCCCTTTTAAACCTTAGACTATTATTTCTGTTTTCCAGGGATTGCCCAAGGTGACTGCCAATCAGCAGTGGCCAAAGCACTGACCACTGTCTGGGGAGACATCGATGCTCCAGTCATGTCGTCACGGTGCTGTGCGCCAGGCTGGATCCATGGTCAGAGGCAAGTCATGCGAAACAGCTACTGCAGGCCCTCCTTCCTAACCATAGCCTCCTCATGGTTCAAAGAGGGCTATAAATTAGGGCAGGATGAGGTGAGAAAACTTCCTTCTCTTCTACCCCACATCCTAAGCAGGAAACCTAACACTGATTCTGACAACCCAGTTAAAGGGAAGGGAAAGCTGAAGCAACTGACTACAGATTACATGATAAGAGGTCCACCTGTCACACTGGGTGACAAAGGCAAGTCCCAGTTTGCTCTATGTTGCTGCTACATCAAGAGGGACCTTTCAAGGTAATCAGTCGCTTTAACCCTCTGCTGCAGAGCCTATGGGTGCTCAATGCTAGTGAGAGGGTGCTTACTTACTGTTCTCTGTACTCTGGATAGTACCCACTATTTATTTTTTCCAACCAGAAGATTAGGGGCTTGAAGAAGTTCCCTATGGCCCTTCAGTCCAGGGCTTTAGGTTGTGTCTTACCTGGGGGGTAGCCCGAAGGTAGATGAAGCCATGTATTCTGAGCCTGGTGGCAAACTCCTGGAGGAGAAAGGAATGCCAGTCCTGATAGATATGCCATTCGATGTCAGTGAGGGAACCATTTTCAAAAAGATTCTTTGCAAAGATATACCTGGTTAGGAATATAAGTGGGTTGGGGAAACAAGAATAAGAAATGAAATGAAAGGAGAAAAACAGAGGATCAATAACCAACTTGTTCCATATGTGTTCAAATCACTTAACCTTTCTAGCTCTTCATTAATCTTTTTAAGGAATCTGCGTTTTTAAGAAAGATTTTATTTATGCATACAAGAGCTGGGGTGTAGGCCAGAAGTGCAGGGGGGTGGTGGTAAGAGGATTCACCAGAGACAGTGGGGAGCAGGATGGAGAGTAGAACAGGCAGATCGACTGAAAGGGGAGCAGCGGGAGAGACAGGAGAGATCTGCTGTGCCATGTGGTCAGCTCCCTGGCCTGGGATGAAACACATGCTACAGTGGCTGTCAACAGCTTCTAGCACTGAGACTTAACCCCATGTGCCACCAGGGAGGCCCAAAAGCTGCATTCTTTTTTTTTTTCCCCCCAAGATTTATTTATGCATTCAGAACTGGGGTACAGGCCAGAGGTGCAGGGCAGTGAGAGGATTCACCAGAGACAGAGAGGGGAGCAGTGGGTGAGACAGGAGTGGTCTGCCGCACCATGTGGGTCACCTCCAGGGCAGGGATCAAACTCATGCTGAAGTGGCTTTAGCTTCTCAGTGCTGTGCTTTAAACAGCTGCGCCACCAGAGAGGGCCCCAAAATCTGCATTCTTAACCTGTACCTCCTTCCTTGTTCAACAGTAAAATGGAAGGTAACATCTACACTTTGGGAATCAAAATGACAGCTCTTCAGACAGATTAATCTGCTGAAAGAAACAAAAAGGGACACTAGAAGAGAATACCATTGGTAACTAATAATTTTCTCTGCTGGAAACCAGTCAGAATAAATAACAGGTAGTGTACATGAACTTGAATATATGCCATCTCCTTATTTTTGCTGTAGCAAGCCCTGAAAGAATAATCTAGTACAAAGCACCCACCTCATTTCATTTAAGGACTGAGGGCTTCTGAGTTTACAGGCGTCTGGCTATCCTTTTGTCTGAGAGGTGGGGAAGGACTTGCACTTAAATGGTATCTATGAAGCAGGAACTGCCCTTCCCTCTAGCTGCACAAGAGTTTTCTTCATTTGCTTTCTCTGCTTCTGAGCCTCTAATACAGGTACAAGAAAGCTAATTGCAAAAATCTAACTAGTTTTGCCCCTTGGTTACTTCCACAAGAGGTGCAGCTTGGTGAACAGGATAATGGAGATAACTAGAAACCACTGCGTCAGAAGGGTGAATTCTGCTTTCAAACCTTACGGACCTCATACAAAACACAATTTACATTCTAAACAATGAACCCCAGTTTCTAAGGCAATGCTCAGCAAGTGGTCACATCTGGGAAAATAAAACTCAGAATCCATGTTATGAGGGGCTCAAGAAAGCTTGTATCACAAAGCTGCAAAAACTGCAATGAAGAGAACGGGTTTCAAAGTCGTATTCCTGCATCTGGCCCGGGATCCCTAATTCACTGGCTGTTTCTCCCTCTGTATAAAGAGATAACAATACAACCTGACTCAAAGGGTTGTAAAGATTGTATGTAATACTCACAAGGTACTCAGAAATGTGATTGGCACATAGAATTCAAAACATATTAGTTGTTATTATAACAACACTTTGCTAGACTATGAAGAGACTAATTTGGGAATTTCAGAAGTAAACTCTCCCAGTCTGGAACAGTCTTGCCATAGCCCAGATAAGGGCAATAAAGAGGTGACTTTTATAATTCAATTTCTGAATGTTTTCAGTTTCTTCACAGGTAAGTAAGAACTCAAATCTTATAAAGAGGAATTAAGTATGTGTCCTAGGAAAGGGGTCCTTGCCTTTTTGAAGGATGAACACTGCTTTACTTTTCCAAAGCTGCTGGTAATTGATAGCCAGCAGGGAGATGCCCAGCACCCAGGGAGGAAACCACTTGCAATTTCAGTGCAGGGGCTGGGAAAAGCGTCAACATAAAGACCCAGGTGCCAGGGGCCCTGCTCTAAAATCACATGTTTTAACTCAAAAAAGATTCAGATTCCTTCTTCCCTTTCAGCAAGTCTCTCAAACAACCCATGTTGGTACTAAGCAGCACCTGGGAGTGTCCTGTGACCAGAGGGCTGTCTGCTAGGAGGTTTGGGCCTATTTTGCTCACAGCTGCAGTGCTCCAGCTAGCCAAGTGCCTGAACATGGTGGCAGTTAATACATTTGTGCTCAGTAAAGGAGTAAATGAATGCACTTTTTTAAAGATTTATTTATTTATGCATACAGAACTGGGGTACAGGCCAGAGGTGCAGGGGTAGTGAGAGGACTCACGAGAGACAGAGTGGGGAGCAGAAAAGGTAGACTGATGAAGTACACTGGTGAAGGGAGCAGTGGGTGGGCCAGGAGAGGTCTGTCTGCTGCACCACCTGGGTCACTGCTGGGGCATGGAATGAACTCATGCTGAAATGGCTTTAGCTTCTTAGTGCTGTGCTTTAACCCACTGTGCCACCAGGGAGGGACAAATGAATGCACCTAAATTACCATCAGGATTAGCATGTTTTTCTGTCAAAAAGACAATTCTTTCATATTGATTCCTTTGTTAAGATCTTACAGCTTCTAAACAAAGTATTTCTCTTTCTTTCCTTTGTTATTTCTTTCTGAGGGCCTACCTCACTAACGGGCTGGAAATCAAAAGATCCATGTGAATCTGTTTGCAAGCAACCCTGGTAGTTATATGGAATCCATCTTCCTAGTCCAAGAGGCATCACTTGGGAAAAGGAGAGGAAAATAGGTAGTAATATACCCCCAACAGTTGGAAAAAATACCAAATCTACAACCCAACCATTTGTGATTTTTGTGATTCAAATATTTAACTTTGATGAAGAGTAGGTTCTCTCTTTGGGTACACAGAGAAGGAATGTGTGGCCATAGGGTTTGTTTTATTATCTTGCATGATTTGTAGAAAATGTAAAAAAAAAAAAAAAAAATCACATGATACTTAAGACGGGTACTCTTTTTTCCTCCCCTCCAGGAGGCTTTACAGAAATAACAGAAAGTAGAACAATTTGTCTGACTTGGAATTAGTGACAACTTAGGTCTTAGGTGTCTTCAGAAAATATAACAGCTTCCATTTTGATAATGCAAAGAGGCTCGAGACAGATCATTGTGCTCTAAAGCACAATTTTAGAGTAACAAAGGCCATTCATACCTTTCAGTAACAAAATCCTGAGCAGATCAAGGCACCTTCACTTCATCTCTAAACAGCTTAAACGCAACTCACAGCCTGGTCTTGTGGCAGAGCCAGGAATTCTGCAGCCTGGATGAACTAGTTCTTCTGGAACAGATGGGCCAACTTCCCAAGCTAGCCAGACTTCATTAAAAGTGATTTTACATCTCATTCCCTCAGGTGTCTGGGCCAATGCCCTTCTCCTGGCCTGACACGGGCACTACATGTCTGTCACAGCCTGGCCAGTAATAAGTCCTGTCATATAACAAGGGGCTAAAAGAGGTAAATGTGAAACAGATGCCAATTTCATAGATGTGCTATTTCAACTTGGAAATCCTTTCTTGAACAAGAGAAAAGGATGACTATATCTCCTGTGACAATTTTGGAACACAACTTTAAATTCCACTAGTTTTCTTCAAGGTGATAACCGACCACTGATTCACTTGGCTTCCTAGAACATACACTATAACTTAAACATCTGTTCTGTGCCTTTAGCACATGATGGTTGTACAAGGTAGCTCCAGCTTGCCTCTCTGGCTCAAAAAATAAGGAAACATAATCGATGACAATGTGAGAAATTAATCCATTCAGTTTATGGAAAATATAGTTTATGAGAAACTCTGTAAGGGAAATGTAAGTCTGAACAAATCTGTCTAGTGTACACAGATCTGTGTAGTGCATAGTTAGTTTACCAAATTACAGTTTTCAGCATCTAGGGTAGTGCAGTTTAAGCAGGAAGAGAAAACATGTAGCCCTGAGCACAGGGTTTGAGGGTTCCAGGTCTTACCTGTCACTGTACACAGACCTCTCAAAGATCTGTACCTCCTTGTTGGTGTGTACAAGTTTCTCAGGTAGGGGGTCCAGCTGTACTTTCAGGCGGCTCATAAAGGAAAACGTCTGGAATGTGTAGGACCATCGTGCTGGTTCCTGATACATCATATCCAGCAAGTTTCCAAGATTTTGGATAGCGCTGGCCTAGAGGAAAATTACAAAAGAGGAGAATTTCCTAGAAGGCATATTTACTTCATGGTGTTTACTTTCTCACCCAACCTGTGCAGTTTAATAATCAATAAGGGAAGCAATTACACAAGTGTCACTTCACTAAAATGATACAATCACATTCCTCAGCTTAGTCAAGCTACATAATAGAGGAAGACAATTTTCCTTCCTTATTAGACAAGAATCTGACAGAGATCCCACCTTCAAAATGCCAGAGACAAGCTAACTGCACAGAATTAGCACATTCACAGACTAGTGTTTATGGAGTCTGTCTGAGAAGTTAATAATCAAAACCATCTAAAACTCTAGTTGGAATAAAATCTTTCCACTATAGCACTATTTGCTTCTCTTTTGACTTCTATCTATGGCTACTTCTTTTTTTCAAGATTTTTAAAATTTATTTATACATACAAGAACTGAGGTATAGGCCAGAGGTATGGGGAGCAGAGAAAGAGTGGGGAGCAGAACAGGTGGATCTACTGAAATACACTGCTAAGGGAGCAGTGGGCAAGCCAGCAGAGATCTGCTGCACCATGTGGGTCAGTTCCCTGGCTGTAGAATGGAACTCTTGCTGCGATGGCTTAATAGCACTGAGACTTTAACCCCAGCACTCCCAGGGAGGCGCTCTGTGGCTATTTCTTTGTAAAACTAGTCCAGAAAAGAAAGCAACTGATAATTTGAAAATCGACTAATGGAAGAAGTCTCTCTCATAGAAGGGTTACAATTTGCTAAATAAACAAACAAAAGCAAACAAACAACCCTCCTCCATTCCCAAACTTTTGGAAAGGCCTACTCATCAGCAGTAGCCATTTGGTAATGTGTGGGATACTCAGGAATCCTGGATTCTTTCTCCTGATCTATACCATTGACTCTGCAAACATCAGTTTTGTGCAAGACACTTTGGAAATGTATTCATTTGATCACCATTACCTGACAGCCTATGTGGATAAGGTGGTACATGGGATAGGTGCTACACTGGGTACAGAAAACAAATTAAGATTTGTTTCAATGTTCACTGTAATATATTACCTCATTTTATTGTCAAAACAACTTGCTGAGGTAGATACTACTGTTATGCCCATCTCCCTAAGAAAAAATTCCTTCAGAAAGGTTAAGTAACTAGGGCCTCCCTCCCTGGTGGCATAGGCCTTAAAAACAGCACTATCACGCTATCACCAACCAGTGCAGCAAGAGTTCGATTCCCAACCAGGGAGCCAACCCACATGGCACAGCAGACCCTCCTGTAGCATATGCTGCTCCCCTCAGCAGCGTATTTCAGTTGATCACCTGTTCTGCTCCCCACCCTGTCTCTGGTGAATCTTCTCAACCCTTGCCCCCATGCCTCTGGCCTGTACCCCAATTCTTGTATGAATTTTTTTAAAGTACAAATACACTTCATTCTAAAAATAAATAAAAATATTCAACAACTCAAAACAAGAGGACTAATCCTGAGAGACAAGAAATATTGCCAGAGACAAGGGAAAATATCAATGAGATTCAAGAGATTGTCAAATTGATAAAATAAGAACAAGCTGTCATCTAAAAAGGAACAATATGAAGAAATGTAATTACCAAAATAAAACACCCAAATGCAGATAGTAACTAGCAGACTATATTCTGTAATAAACCTAATTAATGAATAGTTTGTAAAATTTCAGGCTCAAGTTCTCCTTAAGAGAAAATAAAAAAAAAGAAAAGAAAACAGAATTATAAAAGAAAGAGGAGACAAGAAAATGAAACTAGACTAGAAATGATAAGACCTTAGATGGAGGAAATCTAACAGACACAGTAATATGTAAATATTTTTGCTTTTTTTTATCGTTCCCTCTAGAAAAAAAGCAAGATGTAATGCCAAAGTGTTCTACCTTTACTGTAATTAATACAAAGAGGGGTCAGAATGATCTCCTGCAGCCTCTTCAGTACACAGAGATTCTAACCAAGGAAATGACTTTGACAAGTCCAATACCAGGGATGAAATATTACTCCCAACAAAAAAAAGATAAGCAGATGAAGATCACTACTCATAAGGTATATGTCTCCCTCTCATCAAATTTCACCATTAGTGAGGATCACTTTATCTAATTAAGCATGTAGTATCTCTAGAATAAAGTTTAAAACCATGTCACAACTAGAAAGAAATGACAAGAGTGAAAAAGAAGCTAAAATCTTTTTTAAAATTAAAAAAAAGTTCAAGATACACAAGACTGTCCATCAGAGAAAGTTACTAAGCAGCAGAAAAAATTATGTATTTATGTATACAACTTTCACTTTCTCAGATGTGTACGTGCACACACACACACACACACAGTAGCCAAAACCAGAGTCATCCTGAAAAAGTCAATAATTCATGAAAACAAAATACCAGTTACTTATTTTAAAAAAGATCAATATAAACTACCTTTTGTATTTCAGAACAAAAGAAAGTTTTAGACAAGCAACCACTCAGAAATCATACTACTTACATACCCTTTCTGAACTTCTCTGAAATTTAAAAAATGAACGACAATGAAGAATTAGGAAATGGGAAGAATTTATAGTGAGAAAATAGTGGTCAGTGATAAACAAGTAGAACAAAGCGTAAAGGACTATTAAGGTTTGGATGACTTTAGTATATCTGGGGGATGGAGTCTGCAGAAGGCAGCAGTAAAAAAGTACTTGGTATTTTGTTTCCACAGACTCATTATTAACATTGGCAGGTAGGTTGAAATATGTATATTTTTAATTTTACTGCTTCCACTGGTCAAATAAAAATAATATATTTTCCATATGAACAAAGGGGCATGAAACAAAAGAAATGTTTAAAGAGTTTTAATTGCAAAAAAGAAAAAAGCTGATAAAAGTATAAAATAAGGTGGCAGAAATAAATTAAACATAGTCATGATAAAGGAGAAAAATTTCCAGTAAAGGCAAACTGTAAGATTTGGTAAACACTAAAGTCCCTAAGAGAAACTAAAATAAATGAAACATTGGTTGTGGCTGACAGCAAAGGGTTAACAAAATCCAACAAGTGGAAGCAAATAAAAGAAAGCAGATGTGGAATAATACACTAAGAAGAAAATCATTAAATTCTACAAAAAGTGTTTTTTTAAAAAAATACTAATAAACCAAGAAAGACTCCAGAAGAAGTTACAAACCTTTTTATGCAGAATAAAAAAGCACCAGAATATGAGAGGAAAGCCATTCATCAATACAAGAAGAAATGGATACAGTACACTAAAAGCATAACCCTTTTAGACACTTAGAATAGAATCCAAAATATGGAACCTAAAAAATGGAAATTCTAGGGCCCTCCCTGGTGGCACAGCAGGTTAAAGCACAGCACCGAGAATCTAAAAACCGCTTCCTCACGAGTTCGATCCCCGCCTGCCCCGGAGGTGACCACATGGCTATGGCGGGGCAGACCTCTCCTGACCCGCCCACTGCTCCCCTCAGCAGTGTACTTCCTCGATCTGCCTGTTCTGTTCCCCACTCTGTCTCTGGTGAAGCCTCTCACTGCCCCTGAGCCTCTGGCCTGTACCCCAGTTCTGTGTGCACAAATAAATAAATCTTAAAAAAAAAGGAAACTCTAGTCTTTTTTCCTCACATGTCTGAAACTGATACACATCTTACAGTGGCTATTAAACCTAGACATTTTAATTATTCCTTAGATGTGTTATTTATATTATGATCATGGGGCTGAGTTAAGGATCAAGGTAATGCTGGAACTCATAAAACGTCACAACAAATACCATGTTCTTCTTAAAAGACCATGGCACGGGCCCTCCCTGGTGGCGCAGCGGGTTAAAGCACTGCACTAAGAAGCAAAAGCCATTTCCGCATGAGTTGCATCCACGCCAGCCCCGAGACCTCTCCTGACCCTCCTGCTGCTCTCCTCAGCAGTGTACTTCATGGATCTGCCTGTTCTGCTCCTCACTCTGTCCCTGGTGAATCCTCTCACCACCCCTGCACCTCTGGCCTGTACACCAGTTCTGCATGCACAAATAATTTTTTTTTTTTTAAAAGAGACCATGGCACGTGTATAAGCCACATTGTCTGACCATAAAAAATAAAATTAGAAATGAAACAATGCACACACAAAGCCTACTCAGAAAATATAAAATATTTAATAAATAATCACTGGATAAAGATAAATTAAAAATTATCATTACTAACTTCAGAAATTTCGGTTAAAACCCTGAATGTCAAAATATAGAAGACAGGGACAAAGTTCCCATGGAGAAAATTCCCAATTGCAAATGATTTTTATTATGACAAATAAAAAGGGTAACGTATACAAGTTAATCACCCAAACCAGAGCTTAAAAATGCAAAGAAATTCTGAGAAAGAAATGAATACATTTTAAAAATTAGTGAACGAGAGTAGAAGTTTCCATAGAATTAAAAAATAAAATCCTGTATCTTTTTTTTTTTTTTTTAAAGATTTATTTATTTATTTGTGCATACA